GGTGCATCCCTAATATTCATTGTCCTGCAGTTGTGGTTGAAAACATTCAGATGGGTCAGATGTCCTATCATACTGCTTGATTAAAAAATAACAGATAATAGAGTTGTATAGAGTTCAATGAGACAGAAGTTAGTCCACCCAACCAATCAGTATCCTTTCCAGATAAGTGGATTTGTGTATACAGTTCCTTTTAGTTCTGTTTCATATTGTTAATGCCTCAGAATCAGCACATTAAATCAAAGCTTCATAGTCCTCCTATTGTGTAAACTAAACACATCAGCTGGCACACAATCGATTCTTTATCACATATTCAGTTCCCTGTATCCCAGAGTAGCCTCTGATGAGGTTAACAGGTTATGCTTGCTTAAAGTATGTTCTCATCTGTGAAAACACACTACTGTTGTAAATTGTAGCTTCAGGATTGGGCTCTTCACCACTTGGTGCTAGGAAAGCCGATTTTATAATCTGTTTACAGGGCAGTTAGAGAAACAATCATTAACTTTAACACTTGTGTGTTAAAGGTAGAGATGCTGCAGAGAAGGGTCACACTTTAGTAGAGCCGAATGCTTTTTTGATAATGTTCTTCACGCTTCTAGAAATATTCATATATTCAGACAGAAAAGGAACTTTGTTGACTATAAAATAAATCCTGAGATAAATAAACAGTTTTGTAGCTTTTATTCAGCACTGTAAGTCTGGAGCAGAAGGGGATTTATTGTGACCATATTTCACATTTGGTCAGACACTTAATTGGTGACACTTTTGACCCAAAGATCAAAGGTCATTGTGACCTCAAAAAGGGACTTTAGCTATAATAGTATAGTTGTTGGGCTACCTGGCAGCAGAAGGAGCAGGCAAGAGTCATGATGTAATAACGGACTTGAGCATGAAAAAAAAAAATAATAATTTGTGTGTGTGTGTTTGACCACCAAATAGATTTTTAGTCAACATTTTGTCAGTGCATAAATTAGTCTTATGACATTAAACATTGTTATTTTCCTTTTCAGGAAGGTTACCTCTGAAACCTCTTACACAGATGACAAAAATGCACCCTTGTGCATGGATTAATGGACAGTACCGGCAGCTTGGACCATCCTCACAATCCCCACAAACATACACTCAGCGTACCAATGTGGAACAGGACAGAATGTGGAATCCACAAGCTGCGACAGCAAATAACTCATACCAGTACACAGGACCAAACACAGGTGTCAGGCCACCACACTCTAACAGAGAGACGTCAAATTGGCAGACATCAGTAGTTCCTTATCAGGCAGTTTATTGTCAGCAGCCAGCTGAAGGGGAGTCTAAATATTATTATACAAGCGTGTCAGCTGGCAATCAGCAAAACTCATACACAAATACTCAAAGTCGAAACCCTAATTTGGTCACTAATGGACATAAGGTTGCCAGTCAGAGAAATTTTCATCCCAACCATGGATTCATCAAGTCACCAACCCAGAGTTCACCCAACGTAACGATAGCAAACACCACATACCCTCAGCAAGCACTCTCAGCACACTGGACCCAACAGGGTGTAGTTCATGCACAGAGAGACAGACAGACTGCTCATAACCAGAATCTCAGACAAAATGCCAATCAGCAAGGAGTCATTCCTTCCTTTCCTCCACCTAGTTATAATGTTTCTTGCAGAAACAACAGCATTACTACAAACTCATCCACAAGTGAGCTAGTGTTGCACCTTCTCAGCATGAGCCAGAAAACTCAGAAATACCCAGTTCACATCAACTCAATGCAAAACAAAGGGGACAAGACCACCTTAAACCCTGCTGGTCATACACAAGAGCAAATGTTCAAATACCAGATGATCGCAAGAATCGAGGAGGATCTACGCAAGTCGTTCCCTGCTAGCTCAGGTGGTCAACCTCCAGCGTATACTACTTCAACTGACAGAGGGAAGCAGTTCGCCAGTGATGTCAAAGTGACGGAGTCTAATCAACATATGCAACCTGTGACAAGGACTGTCACTGAAAGTTATAACTCAAATGCCCCACAATCCTCAGCCCTCAATGTTGCACTCTCCTTTCCTAAAACCACCCACATGTCAAGAACACAGCAGAGTGTGGCCGCCCCACAGCAAATCTCTGTACCAAATGTCTTCTACGTCAAAGCAACAGAAAATGGAAATGGAGGGAAAGCATCTCAATCGATGATGCCTGAGAGCAATTCATCACAGAGGAGTACCACAGAATCATCTGTAGCAGACAAACTTGAAGCTATTTTATCAGTCAAGGCAAATGACGCCTCAAATTACTCATCTCCTGGCTGCATAGGAACGAGAGCTGTTGCTGTTGTGCAACCATTGTCACAGGAAAACTACCATGTTGCCAGCAAGCATACCCCTGTTTCCTCGATCAATCAATCAACGGAGCATGCTGCAACAGATGAGTCTTTGAGGAGCCCTGAGAAATGTGTTATATCACCAGCTGTGGCAAAAACTGCTCCTTATTTGAGACATGGATCTCCTCCTTACCCAGAAAACCCAAATCAAACAATGTCCAACAACAGCCATTCAGCAGGATCCAATGATAGTAGCTTTGCATCGTCTCCAGATTCAGCTGGGCATCAACACCTGTCACAAAAAAATGTATGTGCAGAGGACACAGGATCTGAGCCAGCTATTAATATGCAAGTAGAGCAGCATGTTAAGCTAAGTGCTAATCAATTAGTGACCCCTGAAGTGCCAGTGAGCCAAAGTAAGAATCCAACTGATCCAGATTCCTGCGTTTCTGAGCTTTCCCAGGTCCCAACACTCCCATGGACACATGTCGCATTAACTGGGTTGATAGTGCAAGATGAACAAGCCCAGTCAATACTCCAACCAAGTTCTACCATGTTTAATTCTGAAAAATTAGTAAGGATGTTTTGGGATGGCAACACTATAAACTTGATAACTAAGCTCAAGACAGGCTGGTACAGGAGTTTGATCACTGATGTTAAAGAATTCTGCCAAAAACATACAACACCAGACTCTGTCATACTGTCACAAGTAAAGCCCAGCTCTCTGAAGCAACTCCAAAGCTACCATGTCCTCAAAGATAATGAAGCTTATTCAGAACCGCCCTACAAATCATCTTGGTTGAATGTCAGTGAGCAGCTAGATGACATTGATAATGAGTTTGGCTTCCCGTGGTCTTGGAAACATCATCTTCATGTGATCGAGAGTCACAGCCAGCCAGATGTGGACGAGACAGTCAACAGCTTTCCTGCACAGGCTGCACATGAGGTACCAAACAAGGTCTTGTCGCAAACTGAGCTTGAACCATTTGACTCCGGTGAAGAAAAACAAGCCTCTGCTGTTGAAGTCACTTCTACACAAGCTGCCTCTCCTAATGAAACAGAAATAGCTGATTCCAGTGACTCGTATTACTCATTTGAAATCAAAGTTTTGCCTCCAGAAGAGGCCATGGTTATCTTTAAGCAAGCTCAAAGCAAGATGCCACAAAGTATGGACACTGACCCTCAGCCAGAGATAGTCATGGATAGCTCTGTGCAGGATGAGCTACCCGAGGCTATGGATGTCACACTGAATGACTCAGAACTGAAGTCAGTCCTGCCAATACAACAGGTTTGCTGCCTGTCAAAGTGGTTGCATGTCATTTGTGGGTCAGACAAGTCTTCCAGTAAATGCCAGTGCAACGAGCAAAGTCTTGAAGATTGCCCTGACAAGACCCTTGGTACGGAAGAGATGGCAGTACAAAAGGAAGAAAACCTGTGTGTGATCAGGTCTCCCAGCAAATTTCACATGGAAGGAGAGAATAAAGTGAAGGATGGGGAGAACATCAACAATCAAATTATGACATATAGTCAGCCTGAGCTGAGTGAAAATGATCAGTCTGACGAAGAACCGAAGAACATTTCCCAAGTAAGCATTAACAGTACTCTGTCAGGCATTTTACACTTAAGTGACACAGAAGATGAAGATCTCTCCAGCAGTGACACTGAAATTCAGTCAGTCAGTGGTGGCAAAGAAATTGAAACTCTCTGCAGCACTGAAAGTAAAGCTGCCAGCCAGATGTCAGGCCTTGAAGAGACGTGTGGACAGATTCAGTTGACATCTACAGATGTGGCAGAGTCATCATCACAAACTGAAATAAGTGGGACGGCTGCCCTCCAGACAACTTTAAGCCACAATGGTAAACGTGAAACAGTTGAAAGAAAGCGGAAGAGACTGGGCAGTCATGATAGATTTCCTCCATTCCTATCTAACAAATCCAAACCCCCTGAGGATGTGGATTCACAGCCTTCAAAATGTAGCAAGGTTTTAATTGATGCAACTGATAGTAAACCTTTAGCCTCAAATGGCAGATCTGTACAGCTGGTACTGTTTGGCTCAGCATCACAAGACAAGTGTGTTTCGAATAGCAGCAGAAAGAGATATGTTTCACCTGCAGGGGCTGTGTCTTACGGAGTAGCAAGGCCTTCAGAAATTCTCAATGTATATCTCAGTCCCTTGAAGAAACAGTCTGGCCAAACTGTCCGGACAGAGGAACATTCAGTCAAACCATATATTTACGAAAAATGGAGACATTTTCTACCAACTAAAATTAGACACAGAAGCAAACTGAAAACACAGAAGTGTGCTTTTGCCTCTTTATCTGAGGCGAGTCTGATGAAAACTGAAACGGGGGCCCCCGCCACCAGTAAGAAGCTGCCAGTTTCTTCTGAAATGAGCCCTTGGAGTCGAAACACTAAGCGCTGCCTGAGTTTGAGGAAGAGGCGGTCCCTCTCTAATGGACTCAAATGCAGAGAGAAGACAAAGAAGGATGCAGTCACACTCAAACAGCCTGCTGATAAAGAGAGAAGTAACAATGAAAATGGAAGCTATCATGTCATGTCCAAGGGGAACAATGTCCTGAAGTTCAGTGTGTTACCCAAA